GGCTTCCATCCGCGTACTGCCGAATTTCGGCAGTATTTTTCAATATTAATTATTGCTGAACGGAAGCCGCAGGTTTGACATCTGCATTTTTTTTCTTTGCAAAAGTTGAATTAATTGCTTCGTGTCTCTGAGCAATTTTTTCGATGTTATTTCGTGTTTAATTAAATGAAATCACGATGCGTAAGAACTTAATTTTGCGGTGCACTTCCTTTCACCTGACGCGTATTCTGGGAGGTCCTAGGAATGTGGCTCGATGTGAGATTAAGTTCGCTTGTTTGAAGAGAAAATAAAGCAGTTTTGTGTTCTCATGATCTATATATCCGCTTTAAATCAGATCGTTCGACGATCTGATAGCCAGCACCTGCTACCATTGATGTCATTCAAAATACTCTACTCGCTCATATAGATATCATTTGGGAACATCTGCCAGCTGATCCTCGCCACCATTCCTTTTTTGCATTCTCTCTTCTGAGTGTTTGCCTAAGCTATAATAAGGAGCATGTATTTTATTCTTTCTTTTCTCTATATTTGTCTTTACCTGAAAAGAGTGAACAGTATAAATATTTTTGTGAATTTTTCTAATTATATTTAATAATTTTACGTAGAGTTTAATTTAGTAAGAAATAATCATTTTAATGCAAACTAAAATTTTAAAAAATTGTGTCATCTATATGAGTCTGTATATAAAATGATTATTATTATTATTAAAATTGTGAAACAAATCACAAAATAACAATTACAATGATGCACGAAAAGCTGATTGTGCGATCTCGAGCGTTTGTTGCGTTGCAAATCGCACCATTTCCATTGCAATAACCCACGGCGCCAATCGAAGTCACACGCGATAACGCACAGTACTCGTCATCAGACGAAGAGAGAAGTGGAAGGAAGAAGACAGGGAGGGTGGACTCGAGGTGTGAGCTTCGTCATTGTCATGAGACTGACACTTCGGGGTATCGGACCTCGGTCTGGCCATTAATAATCTTAGCCCGAACGAAGAAACAAAGAGGAGGAGTACGGAAAGGAGTGCGGTAGAGTTGCGGACGAGAGGGTACGGGTACACACAGTTCGCGCGCACTACGTCCGTTCACCACCACTATCGCTCAGCACTCGGCGTATACGTGGTAGGTACGTTCGAATGTGTCCGATGCGTCCGATAGGGCGGGACATGGGCATAAACAATTGCGCGTCAGCCTCGCCTCTTTCCGATGCAATGTAATAAAACGAGAGGTCTCTTGCGGGCCCTCCTCCGCCGCCCCGATCCCGAGAAGAGTTCTCCTCATCGGGGCCCCAGGGCCAAGAATATCGAAATGAACCGGTGTCCGTGCGATATTTCAGCGAGCCACGGGGGTCGTACGTACGTGGCCGGGTACGTAACGTAAGCCTCCCCGACCTCCTACGACCGTGCTCCGAGATCTCCGGCGTTCGATTGAAAGCCGAGAGCTGGCAAATTTTTAATATCGTACGTGATCATTGGTGAGATTACGCTGAAACGCACGCACATCTCCAAAAAGGAAAACCCCCTCGCGCAGCCCATTCAAATGGTCCATAATTACCGTGGCGAAAATGAATCTCGAAGTCTTATAAATAACATTGCGATTAATCAATGCAGCAGATGCACAAAAAAAATCAATAAAATATATTTCTTTCGGGCTGCCGATTTTGTGTTCGTGATCTTTGTTTCCGAGAATACCGATGGCATGATCTCTCGCGTAACATGTATCCTTCTTTGTATTATGAATGTTAGGTCATTCAGTCTCTTTATCTTGAGTCTCTGTTTACAGTAAAGATAGCATTTTAATTGGAATAAGTTTTAATTCTCATGGAGTGTACATAAAAAGTGTTATATTTTGTGAGCCATTCTTGCTTCACTTTTAGAAACTCTACATTTTCCAATAATTGAATTACGTTGTTTTTACACTGTTGATTAAGTGGAGTGGCAATCTGCAGCTTCCTGATTTATTTTTCTCATATTAAAAAAAATTAAAAAATTGAAGCAATGTCATCAAAACGATCAATATTAGTATAGCATAGAAATATACAAATATAAAATCGAGAATGATTATATATTTTAATAGAATTAAAATTATGAAATAAGCATAAAAGGTGTAAGAGTCGGAAATTTGTAAAAATGTGAAGAGACACGGAATTATGTTAAATAATGCATTTAGATAAGAACAATGTTTTGATAATAATAAAATGTTTATTTTTTTGTATGATATCATTAATTGATTTAATAAATGTATATGCATATATGATGTGTATACATTGCATTAAAATGAGGCAGTATTGATTAATATATTGATCAATAATGTTATATAATACTTGCCAGATTGTTTTGTAAACAATGAAACTATATAATATATAAAACTTAGTGGTTTGATTTGAAGAATTTAATTAATTTCTAATCTTTTTCTATACCGGTTTATGCTGGGAGAAAAGATTTCCAATTTCAAGGATTAAATCAAACAATTCTAACGCATTAAGGGAGTGATTTTGTGATAGCGTGTGTATGTATGTGCGTGAAACGCTTCCTTTCTTAAAAGTAGATTAATACTGGGCGATGAAGCGACGACCACGAGCAATGGAAAGGGTGTGGAAGAAGGAAACGAGGTAAGGAAAGAGAGAGGAGAGGTGATGGTCGTTCTCCTGCGGCAGGACGGACAATAGCAGCTCTGCGAAGTGTAGCGGACAAACAAATAGCCAATTAAAATTCCGGTTGCACGGCGAACATACTTGTATCAGCTGCAATACTACCATTGTGCACCGAAGGCATGCGCAAGCCGGTGTCTGGATCGGTTGACTGGGTCTGGATACCAGAAGATCGGTTGCTTACGACCAACCTTCGAGGATTATCTCCGCGGTAAGCGGGGACTCGTTTGCACCGTCCACTCGACTAAATCTTACCTCACGAGACATTGTTATCGTCGAATCATGCCTTTATCGCGATCGATTCATGTCTTCGGGGGCCTCTTTCGCATTAATACATTTTAGGGTATCGCAGAATTACAATAACAATTTGAAACGCGAGAATTGGCAACATATGCTGGCATTGGTCGGCAGACTTTGTCGTAGATATAGGAAAATTCCTACGACGATATTGTATCAATTCGTATCGCGTTTCTTCACCTCGACGTTCGATAAAATTCATATGATTAATTAAGGTAGAGAATTAATTATCTGGAAGCAGAGCGCTTCGTTCCCACTCACGGCGCTTAACTATAAATGTCAGATTCGAAATTACTTCCTCACCTCCGATCCTACCATCTTCCCGATCCGGCGTGGATGTTATTAGGAAATCGTTTAATTGGTAGATACCGATTTTAACTGGCATTATGAATGGTTACAAGTGTCACGGGGTCGTTAAAAAGATAGAAAATATATTATCCTATTACAAACCTACAACAACCTGCAAGGTATAGCCACTACGAGAGAATCAAATGATGTAGCGAGTAATCGTGGAGAGCGGGGGATGCTTGCTTTATCGAGTTGTGCGAATTATATAGCAATTACTTTTCCTAAACTTTGGAATTGTGGAAAAAAATCGCATACTCCCGCAATCGATATCCACCGATATATTCGTCGATTCTGCGTCCGGCGCAGTGAGAATGAACGATTACTAAATTACAACATGTCCTTAGATACGATCGGCGGGCCATAATTGCAGGACTATTCATACATTATTGGCTCGTATATTATTTGACGCGATTCAATAACTTTGTAGCGGGACGGCCGATGGTATCTCTCCGTCGTTAAGGCGCATTCGCAATATCGATCGGTCCTGATGAATGGCCACGTTTAAGGTCGTCATTTTTCCCAGCAATTATTAACGCTAAAATTGAATGTGTCCGTGAGCGCGGGATCGAGCCAGTCGTATGGACCACGCGTGAAAAACGAGACCTCTCTCGAGAGGCAGATCCATCTTCGAATGTGTGTTAAAACTTCGCGATGCCCAAACTACCGGGAACGCCTCGCCCGCTACTCCTAAATGCAGTGGGTATGATTTATCTGCGGGCACCAAAGTAAATGGAAAAGTTTTACTTTTTTAACTGGTCCCTTTTCAGATGGTTAAGATTGTCGCTCGAGTATTATATCGGAGGCGCAAGGAGTTACTTTCAACGCGTACATTTGGAAGAATATATAGCATCACATGCTTTTTCCTTTTTTTTTTGTTATGGTTTGCCCGGAGTCTTTAGGCCTGTCTCGAAAATAATATAACAAGGTGACGTTAATAATCTCCTGTCCACTTATTTGAACATATATGATAAATTAGATGATTTTTTCTCTCTTGAAACTTGGATGAGACTTTGCCACGTTTGAATTTTTCTTTACATAAATTTTCATCGGGCATAATTACTAAGTTATCAAATACTGATGTAAATTAAAGATGAAAATAAAATTCTTCGGTTATTTTCACGCTCAACGTTGAGAGGGCATATAATGTATTAGATATATGAAATATATTACGCAGAGCTCTTATCATTATCAGCTGTTAAAGTTTCGTCGTACTCAGCAGTATTTCACTTTAAGGAAAAATCTGTTTTCAGGATTTTAATAGAAATCCTTCGTGTGGAAACGATCGAGAAAGTCTCGTATGATTTAGCATGTAGGTATGCCAGGGGTTAATTATTTCATTCGAAACAGTCATTAAAATCATATTCGTTCGCTATGATCAACTAATAGGTCTCGGCATAGCAGAGTGTTTTACGCGTGTACACGTATATTACATGAAACCACGTGCATGGGTATATGTTTGCGAGTATGTGTGCACGGAAGCATACCGATGGAACACCGACGCGACGGGAGGCACGAAGAGTTACTTGCATTTCTACGACTACCTGCAGTTAATTTACAGCAAAGTGCGCGGATAAGTTCCACCGTTATTCTTCCAATCGGAATCTTCTCGCGAGCGGTTACCTCTTCTTCGCGGACGATTTCTCTTCCTCATAACGGCGATATACCCGATTCACCTCAAAAACCGATGACTCGTTTCTGCGTAGGTCGATCCGGATCTGCATAAGCGTGAGCACCAACTCGACCGCTATTCATTTATAAGCTCCAGTGAGAAGTTGCGACCACCACGTCGGTCGAAGTTAATAACACAAGGAAAAGGAAGTCACGCGATTGAAGTAATAAGGATGATGAAACAACACGGTTGATACATTTAAAGCGTTAATACGTCTCGAACGAACAGGGTGCGATTACACACATAGTTACTAAAGTACACAGACGACTGGAATCGTGTTCTTATTAAATGTACTGCTCATGCAGCTGCTCGGTAATCTAACAGCAACGACTGGAGCATGGCTGACGAAGGATCTGACGCATCTAAAAAGGATGATATCCTAGAGGACAGCAATGCTGACAGCAAAGCCGACAGCAAAGTGCCAGATGAAACCAAATACGATGATGTAAGACAGGGATAATACTCTTTCGTGTCTCGTCAACTAAATGAATTCAAATCTAGAAAGAGAAATGATGCTTGCTTATGACAGTAGAGATATTTCTACCGATATAAAATGTAGATTATCAAATAGGCATAGTTACGACATAGGATAATATATGTTTAATAGGCTGATAAAATTCCGACGATAACTACTACGAAAAATGCTTTAATAACGACGCAACTGGGACCGTGCGAAGCCTATCCGCATTCTGTCAAAATTTCGATCGTGGGTGCAAGGAAAGTTGGAATGGCTTGTGCTATCGCAATTCTGATGAGAGTCTGTATATAACATATATAGATCTATTATATACAGTGTTTTAGAATCTTTCGTACAAAGTCTAACAGTACTCTGAAATGAATATGAGCTGAAATAAGAAAAAATGTTACATGAACATAAATTCTAAAATATTTTATTAAAAAGTTATAATAAAAATATGAAATGTATAAGAAACAATTTTACTTTTTAGAAAAACAAGTTTATATTTTAAAATAATATCCGTCCATGTAAATACAAGTTTGAATCAATATAATTTTGAATTTATCACCTTTTTTGCGAGGGTAGAGGAAACCTTCATGTATATATGAAAATTTTTTGTAAAGTATTTTAGGATTTCTGTTTATATATTTTTTTTTATTTCAAGACATAAAACATACTTGTTAAAGTTTGTACGGAAATCCTGTATAGTTCATAAGCTTTGATTAATTGTTTTTACGTAATCTTTTTAGCGGATAGCGAGTGAGGTCTGTTTGATCGATCAAAATTCAGACAAAGCTTCTGCCGAAGCCGAGGACATTCAACACGCTGGTATTTTTCTGGGATGCCCTCTGGTAGTTGGCACATCAGGTATTTTTCGTACTAAAGATACATATTTACATATTATATAATAGCAATAAATAAAAAACTATATCAATTATACAATACCTACATCTATCTAACTCTACTTCTTCCCATTGCTTCTGACCATATATCATCCTTACACAAAACGTCTCGTCACATTATCTGTGTCAGATAAAGCTAGTGTTAGAGCGGTTGTCATGGCGGTTAACACTTTAGATCTCGTTGTCGTGCTCTAATCACAGAATCAACGAGTCGTGAACGTCCATGGACGATGTAGGCCTTTCGCGCGTTAGGTGCGAGGCAGCACAAATTCCAGAAATTTTAGATTGATACGTCCGGACTGATGAATCCGCCGAGCGTCACTTGCAGTGTGTCACGGCTCCGATCAACACCCATTTCAAATCAACGATCCGTTAGGTTATCTGCGTCAAGGGGTCTCTGTCAACGTGCAGCGATTCAGAAACAACGTTCTCTCGCATAGATGGGTTTAGCAGCAAGTTTTGGAGGCCAGAATTCCCTCGGACCTGTCCTTTAATCTCTACTCTCATCTACATCGCCGGTCGCTTATATGCTGGTGAACTGGACGAACGTTTCCCTCGAGCTTTTCACGGACACTCTCGTAAATCTCGTCCACTCTTATTTATCTCGATCGTGATCGGCTCCACGACGCGGTTTTCTGTTTCTGCTTCCAGCGTGCGTACGACGCGCGGTTACCCCGTCCGATGAGCGGCTGGTTATAAAAGCATTGTATTCTTTCTCTTCGTGGGAATCCAGGACAGTAACGGAAAGTACGATCGGGTTTGATCTCGTGGGTAGTTTCACCGAGTTGCACTACGTTTGATCTTAGAAATGATTTCAGTTTGTTCGACTTTTCTCGGCATTGCGTACAACACGTAGTGTCCGTATTTATACCTTTATAAAGGATAGCAGAATGATTCTTCTGATCTTGTCTCGTGCGAGGTAGCAATTACTGGAACAAGTGGGATGACTTTTTTACGGGCTTGCCAACTTATCTGTAACAACATCTTTCTCCATCGTAAATGTATCTTCCGTATAGTTGCGATACCACTGCGTGTTACTACAAGCATTTTGTAAAGGTGTTGCCTCGGATCTGTACTCTTTATTTTTCCGACCATGCCGGATTGTCTTCCTCGCTGTCATTATCAGCGCATCTCTTCCAATGGTGATTCTCTCTCTCGAAAGGGGAGAAAATTTCTTATTCACTCTCGTCTTTTTGTATTCCACGCACTTCCGAGGAGCTGATGATTGCGCGCTTGAATAAAGACGTCGTTCTCCGGCAAGAGATTCTTCGGAAAGGCGTATCTGATTCTTAACGAAGCTATTTCCCGTTACGGCTTCTTTCGCGTGAATTGGTGTCTTCTCTAGAGATTCAAAACGATTTATACCTTAACTCTCTCAGGAAAATGTGGCTAAAATATTAAAATACACACGTATCTAGAAATCACCATTCTACGATAATCTACGATCTACAATTGATTTTAGATATCTACAAGGTAAAAGATTCGACGGTAGTAGTAATTGCGGTTTGTGAAAAGAAACTTGAAGAGGAGGTCAATGTCAAGCACAACATCGAGGTATTCAAGAAGATCATTCCTACAATTGCAAAGTTGGCTTGCAAGGCGGTGTTACTAGTTGTGACTCAACCGATCGACGTGATGTCGTACATCACTTGGAAGTTATCCAAGTTTCCTTCAAGCAGAGTGCTTGGCACGGGTACTCTGCTTGATAGCTGCAGGTTTCAGGATTTACTGAGTCGCAAGTTGGGACTGGCGCGAACGTCAATCAATTGCATGAGTATCGGCGCACAGGGCGACACATCTGGTATTTGATTGACGTCCTGACTAATTTTACATAGATTCGCACATAGATTTGTAATTCTAGTACTGAATATAATATAGATATAAAATGTATTTATGTTATATAGCAATTACATTTGTTGTACATTTGTTGATAGCAGTTAGTGATAAGGTTTTACTAGATACTATCTTTACACTAATAATTGCATCTATTGGAGTATTTCTAAACGTCATAAATACACAGAGATTTTTACATACGAGATATTATTCATACTGAAAAATATTACACGTACTATTATATTGTATAATAAGTTATATTGTAAACTAACAGTTAACGACGTCTCTTTCTCTTCAATATCTGTCGTTTCACAGTTTCCATATGGTCGAGCGTTCACGTGGCGGGCACGAAGATACGAGACATAAACCCACAAATGGGAGAGGCGGATGATCCCGAGAAGTGGCGTGACATTTCCGAAGCTGTAAACAAAACGTCAGTGTTAAGATCACTGGATATTCTTGAGAAAATTTAAGGAAGTAATAAAATCTATGCGTTGTGTTTGTAGCGACACGGAGCTTAATCGGAAGAAGGGTGAGGGAGGACCGAACTGTTGGGCTCTCGGCTTCTGCACTGCTGAGATCATCGATGCCATCGTCAGGAATACTAAAGTCGTGTTGCCAGTGTCGACGTACATACACGTGAGAGATATAATCAAGTTAACACATTCAGAGATATAATCAAGTTAACACATTAACAGTAAAATTATTGAGTGATTTTAGATAGATTTTAATAACTTTGCTAAATAAAATTGCTAATATTATTATTACTTTAAAATTAAACGCATTTAATTCTAAGACACATTTGAGTTGTATAAAAATTCAATATTATAGTTTTTCTGGTACCAATTGAAGCGTAGATTACAGGATAATTAATTAGGAATCGAATACAATAAAGAAAGGAATTTGCATATAATAGTTATAAAATAATGATAATTTTTTAATTCGCAAGTAAAGTATTTATTTTTGTACCTTAAAAAAACGTTCTCAGGTACATTTATTCGCGTGTGTCGATTGACACGATGGAAAAACAAGATCGAGGAATCTCTGTTCACAGAGTTGTGCCCACGGGACCGATAAAGACATGTACATGTCGGTACCCTGTGTTCTCGGTCGGGAAGGTGTGTATGCCACGGTGCGACAGAAGCTGAACGAACAGGAAAAGACGGCGATACAACGGTGCGCCGACAGCATCCGCGATGTGCTACGTGAGTGTGGCATTCTTCGCGAGTCAAGCGACATTGAAGAGTGACAACCGGTAGACCGAGGAAAAAAGGAGAGTGAGAAAACGTGAAGGACTTGCGAACGGATGTGAACGGATACGTGGCGCGGAAATAGCGAGGAAGAGGAAACGGAGTGGAGAGAAGGAACGATGTTTTAGAATGCATCTTCATCAATAAGGGCAATGCTGCATCTGGTAACCGGTTTCCTGCGTGCGTACATTCGATCGTCATAATAAACGATATATGAGTGAAACTCGACTTCCTGGAAAATTAAACCAGCCGCGTTCTCCTAAGATTGCCTGCGAACGGTACACGCTACAATATTCCACGCGTGCGAGGCTTATTACTGTTTCTTTTTTACTCGATCGAATTTTGATTTACGCAACCGAACGATGTACGATGCGGAAAGGTGAAAGGGCGGATGAAAATGCACTCTCCATTGCATGCGAATATAAGGTTGAGAGTTGCGGCTAAAGGAGATTGGATAATTTAAACTATAATCTTTTTTTAGTTTTAAGTCTTGTTGTGTAGTGAAGTCGTTGTATTTTATACATATAAAATTTTATATATATATATATATAATATGTAATTTTTTAAATCGTAGAAATTGAATAATTATCGGGATGAAACAGAATTACACTTTTATAATAAGAAAAAGAATGGTAAATTGAATTAATGAGGTTTATAAAGAATAAAAGAGTCGATTTCTAAGAATCACTTTTTGATCCCTTCTCAAATATCCTGTAAAATACAAATTGGCAGTATCTCTCCAGGAACGCGGCGCATCCCACCTGTGCGGCTTCGTAGCAGCTGTCGATCAATTTTACGATCTTCTCCGCAGAAAAACGAAAATAATAGGAACGATAGTTGGATAGGTCCAATTGGCGATTCGTCTCTACATCTGTCCCGAGCATTTACCTTTTTATATAACGAGCATTCTTTCCGATTATAATTGATTCTGTACGGCACGATTGAATTTATCGATAGCATCTTTTCATCTGTGATCGAACGTGTTAATCGGATTGTATATCTCCCGCTACAAGATAACTTGAGGTTCACATCTCGTACATATAGTACATTATGAGTATACGAGATATGTATGTTGAACACGAAAGGCAGAGAGAGAGAGTTCTCTCACGTTCGATCGTACAGAACCAATATAATCACCTTATTGCATATACCATTTTATGTAGCCATTTCAAATTGACAGTAAATCTACTTGCTACATTTCCGTTGTCAACTTCATTCACCTCCTGTCAAAGATATTTTTTTCGACTGTCTGCTTTTTCAGACGTATCCTATCTTATGTAAATTTTAATGACGATACGTCAAATTTTGTAGTTTCAATTAGAAATATTCACGATGTCAAGCGACTTTTGGTTTGCTTAAATTATTTGGTGTTGTACCTCGAAGTAGAAGAATATCCATGTATCGCGGATATGACCGAAACGAGAAAGAAATTACCTGAGGTAGCCAGCAACACGGTAACTGTTTTACTGGCCAAACAGGCAGAACATCTTGTGGATGGCCATCGTGTCAAGGTCGTCGTCGTGGGCAGTGCGCCTAAGGGTGTTGCGGTCGCTATAGCTATTCTATTCAAAGTTGGTGGATTTTCGATTTTTTTAGTTTCTAACCTTTCGTACCATTTTGATTTTTTAATTAATTTTTTATGCATATACGCTATGTATTTTTATTATAACAATGATTTCATTATTTTATAAAATATAGCAGCACATATTTTATATTAAGCATATGATGACACATACATAGATAATGAACAAAAAATTGTTATACTTTTTATAATCTTTATGATAAATATTATGTAAGTATAAAAATTTATTTACAAATTAATTCGCGCAAGTAGTAATTCTAGATGCATACTCTATAAATTTATAATCTGTTTTTTTTAACAGTGTAATATTTTGATATTAATAGTACATTTCATAAATTACCATTAACTTCGTAAAAATGCTGATGCATATAAGTCAACGTCAATACTAATATATTATTACTTCATTGATGTACAATTTATATACTTCGAAGGTATATCAACATTGATTAATGCACGTATGCGTAATAGATCCGTGTCTCATTCCATTAGATGATACGATAATGTGCTCGATACGTCAATCTAAACATGTCCACAATGATATCGAGTGAATGAGACATAGCGCCGGTATCCGCATGGTTCGAGTACGTAATTCGTATTTGTTCGTCGAGGATCAAAGATCTAATGCTACACGTTGGTGGACCTCAGGAGATATACCCTCGAGTTGCACCCAACAAAGGACGAGCCAAGGAATGCCCTAACGTGTGTAGGTTCGTGCATGAGTATACCTGCAGGTCTACAGGGGCTCCTGAATGTAGGCTCGTTAGTGTGTACGTGTATGCCGGCTGAAAAAGGCTATTATGCAAATGATCCACGGAAGACCAGAAGAGGGAATTCGGCTATAAGAAGGAGTAGGGTGGAACATGAAAGAGGAAAGGAGATAGCAGGAAGAAGACTATAGAAGATGTAGAGAAGTGGGCCGAACCTTTCGCTCGTTATCGGATCGTAACGCGAGCATTTACACGTCGGCCAATGCGCCCCCGCAAGACGGCTCTAACTGACTGATTTATGTTAGTAACTATGGAGAGAGACTGCAATTTATAACACCGTTCGTCTGAAATCCTCGCGAAACGAATACAAATAGTATTGCAATATAATAATAGTTGATTTAAGATTTTATGAAGGATGTGCTTAGAAGCTTTTTAAAAATTTCATGGAACAGTTGCGCATAGACTTACTTTTTGGTCTTAACAAGTCCCGATCATGTAATAATGGAAAATGTGAGAAATATGAAATTGTTTATAACATTCTAAATGAAACTATATATTACCATTGTATTGTTTAGGCATAATTTCGTATCTGTTGCATCAAGAAGGAAAATTAACTGTTAGACGGAACGCATTGTGGGCTGCAAGGTGCAACAGCTAGTGTTGTATCCATATGTTGAGTACATTCGGTAGAGGGTAATAAATGTGGGCGACTAATTCTAGGTTTCGGTTTCCGCAAATTTACGAGGGCAAACAATGGTGTGTGCATGCGGTGAGACGCAGAGGGCGTAACTGACGGACGATAGACTTCTCGTTGGCCGGACTTATGGTGTATATCGAGAGACTAAATAATATATAGTAAAGTTTATCGTGTATATTATCGAGGAGGAGTCAGGATAGTACCGAGAATAACTAGGATATTAGGAAACCCGTTATCGTACATGATAACAGCTTTTGAGGAAAATTGCCCGCGTTCCATATCAAATTAATACTATAGATTTTCTCAAAATCGCTTCCTTGATTCTTTTGACAATGACAAATGACTTCCTTAGTCTTTATAAAAATTCGAAATGTGTACTAATTAGAAATAAATGAAACCCGTTATCGTACATGATAATAGCTTTTGAGGAAAATTGCCCGTATTCCATGTCAAATTAATAGTATGGATTTTCTCAAAATCGCTTCCTAGTCTTTTGACAATGACAAATGACTTCCTTAGTCTTTATAAAAATTTGAAACGTGTATTAATTAGAAATATATGAAACATGTAATTGTATTCTAGCCAATATAAATTATTTATGACTACGAAACTATGAAACTCGATGGCGCTTATCCGACACGACCATGAAGATCTCCTGATTACCGGAACATTCGGCAGCAGAAGATGCTGTGGAAAAAAACAGGAAGAAGCGTTTCAAGAAGAAGAGCAAGAAGTGAAAAAATATGACCGAGTCGTGCTGCTGCACTTTACGTTGCACCATGGCAGATTGCATCAATGAGATCATCGCAAAGTACGAAAATACGATCGCTACAGCTTGCCGTCTACCTTGTGAACCTACCAAAATTCTTCACAACTGTAGCGTGTCAGACATCTTATTTCTTGTTGTTCTCTCAGTTTCTTGTCTCATTGTGACACGCGTGTTGGATGGCCCGTATCAAGCTGTGCAAATTATACGGGCAGAACCTTCAGCGAAAGATACTTCGTTGGTATATCCTGGGCCATATCTACATCGATATTTAATATGCAAGTAGTTATGTCATCTTATGGACAGAGTATCAGATAGTGAGAAATTGTGAGCATTTAAATGATCCAATAAAATAAGGAAATTAAAACTTGCTTTCAAACTTATCATCGTGTTATCACGACGAGAATAAATGTTTCAAGGATGAATGAAAAATGATTACATTTTGCATTTCGGCATTGATAAAATATATTTCTAATAATAATATTTCTGGTTTACAATGGTGACTGTTTTTACAGCGCTATGTAATTATTTAAATATAGATCAGTATGGAAGACAAGAAACTGATCAGAAGTATTTATTCTGTCTTTTATATTTTTATATTAATTGTGAAGTCTAACATTTTGTTATTTTGTTACATTAATATATAATCCAATAATCAAATATTATTTCTTTTGTGTGAAATATCCTTGATAATTTTCTGTGCAATACATTGTTGAAAAGAACGTCTTAAAAATATTTTTATCTACAGTAAAAAAACATATCTATTCGATTAAAAGAAATTGATAAGCCTTTTATTATACAAATAAAAATGACACGAAAGAAGAAGAAATTAAAAATATTAAAAAGAAATTTATTAAGTATTTGTAATTAAAAATATAATAAGCACAAGTGAAAATTATATGCTTATTATTATTGTGAAACAAGAGTGATTTATTCAAAAAGTTCACAGTTACTTTACACCTTTCAGAAGACACGCTTGATGAAGTATGATAATTAAGTGGTATACAATAACAGAAGCAGGAGAATTTAACATAATATATTAAGAAGTCGTTTTATAGTTAGTCCGCCGTTTGTCTTAACATGAAGTGTGAAAGCACCATCTGTCTGAGGAAAATACGTCCATCTGTTCATATATAAGCGTGTTAAAGTGTATATAACGTAAAATGTTACATACATCATTTCGTGTAATATACACCATTCGTCGTCATTACTACAAAAACGCGTTTGTATGCGATACGATGACCCTAGGAAAATAATGCTCATTAATTTTTACGGAGTGATTTACATGATCGTCCGAATATCCCATTATACCACAAATTAACCTGCACAAATTAGAACCGCTCGAAGCTTAATGATCTATCGTTCAAAAACGAATATAGATTACCAGTGGTCCCTTATTATACCACTCGTTTGCCATGTCATTTGTCACACTTCATGGACTTGTATAACGTTACATTTACGATATTCCTGGGTATCCTTAATGTACGCTACGTTAATGAAATTATAAAAAATTCATGGGGAAACAAATAGCCAACATTTACGAAGAAACCATGATTGCGGGAGAAAAATGAAGCACGTGCGAATAGGGGGTCGTAGAATCATTCTTCATGCTCGTTTGACATTTCATAAGGAACACGGTCGCTACGGCCGAAAATCTTGTAGCTACTGCCGGAGGTAGGACGGACGGTAGTCCCTGGGAAGAGGAATCGATGAGAAGAAGCCGTACCGGTTCCATAATTATTCATGAATGAGTTATCGCCCTGCGCAAGACATCGTTTGTGTCACCAGACACTGGCGACAACTACTGGCGGCGATCGTGATGAAGCGAAACCGACATAGTGAATTCCCCCAAAAATAACGCACTTCTCAACACTATTTCTTGATCGGATCTTAACGATTCCTCGCATTAGGGGACTTTGCAAACAGTGTGATTGATCTCGCGTACTCATTCGCATCTTAATGTGATTCTCGGGGGGCGGGGGGGGGGAGGCTCTTGTTGCGTAACGATTCGAAGCGCGTAATAACGCTGCCTGCTGGGTAGCAACTAGTTGCCGTTAATTACTCTCTAGCTTCTCTGCTCACTACCCTGTTCAACCATTCATCCCTTTGTGATTTTTTTCGCAGCGCCTTGCCTCCGAGCTCGTCCTCATAGATGTGAACGAGGATCTCGCCAAGGCAGAAGCAGAAGACATCAGCCATGCGGCAGCATACCTCGGCAATCCCAGAATTGTCGGTACCAAAGGTGAAGCCCGATGGGAGGAGGTTGCAGAAAAATAGCGAGACCGTCATTACACTGTCCGCGAGTAACGAGCAATTATTTCAAAACGACCACGCTTTAACGTTCGATAAATAAATAGCGCGATTGTGATTAGCGATAAGCTCGCCAGAGGTAACATCCGCGTTATTGCCTGCGTTGAATGACATCTCGAGTGTTATTAAAATTAAGATGAATTATGCATGATTTTACGTGATGCTGTAAGATGAACGCACAAGCAACACGCTTATCTAGAAATTAATTAGCAACTGATAAATGATAGTGTCGCTAATATAGCGAGAAATAAAAATCGGATCCACGTCGATTTTTATTTCTTCTTGGGAATAAAGCTAATAAAAATTTAAGAGTATTTTATAATTATTGTATCATATTATATTTTTTCTTGATTTTTGAATAGATTTATCTTTTAGAATAGGTTTATTTTTCTTACAAATACATCTCTCGTGTAAAAGCGCAAAACAAATGAAAAATAAAATTCTGTGATAAGCGATAAATCATCCAACATGCATTACGCTCCGATAGATTATGCTTGTGCCAGAGACGCAGCAGTATGCGTGATCACAGTTGGAAGCCAGTCTCGTGAAGATCTGCGGCCAGCCGATTATCTAGAGCATAATCTGAAAATTTTCAAGGACGTCATTCCTAACGTTTCCAAGTACGCGCCGAACAGCGTTCTTCTCATTCTTTCAAAGCCAGGTACACTCTTATTACCTACTATGCACTTAATGTGTTTGTCATATTAGAAATTACACATATATATCTGGCTTTTTTTAATAAACATTTTATATATTTAATATATTTTATATATTTTAATATATTTTATATAAAATATTTTATATATTTAATAAATAGCAACATGTTAATGCTCCTCTATGATTATATTCTCTAAGATATTTTTAACACATTATAATTCGAGATTGATCAATTTTAATCGAACATTACACAAGTATAATACATGAATAATTATTTTGATCATGTTATTTAGTTGATATTCTATCGTACGTTGCTATGAAGCTGTCTGGATTTCCACCAAATCGTGTTATAGGATTGGGAACGTTTCTAGACAGCTGTAGATTTCAGTATTTTATCGCTCAAAAACTCGGACTTTCAGCAAATGCGATTCAAGCGTTAATCATTGGCGAGAGCGGACCAGCTTCTGGTAATTAGCATTAAAATATTGTAATTATGATAATCGCAATGTAATTACGATATTCACAACAAAGCAAAATAAAAATTTGTTTTCATATATGTACTATAGTGCAGTTGAAGTAGAGATAATTTTATTTATTACAATATTTTAAGGATTAAATTGCAAAATCCGACTTTATATGGTTCTTCTTAGCTTTATAAAAAGAAAAGTCGAAAAGTTTTATGACAAAATATTTAATTTTTGCAAATTTTTATTCTCACTTACATATAAACTCTTTATTTTAATATATAATATTAGTACCGGTCTGGTCCGCTGTTGCGGTAATGGGCATGCCTTTAAAAGATATAAATAAAGAGATCGGCACTAGAACGGATCCGGAATCCTGGAGCGATTTACATGCGAAAGTTGTCAATGCCGATAATGAATTGATCCTCAAGAAAGGCTATCACAGTTGGGCAGTTGGAATCTGTGCAGGCGAAATTGTTGATGCTATCGTGCGCAATACTTGTGCTTGTTTTACTGTCTCTACGTTCATGAAGGTTTATTGATAAGTTTTATTAGAACTATTAAACTTATGTTTAGTGATATTATTTAGAGGACTATATTTCTTATTGCTTTTCCTTTGTGTCAATATAATTATAGTATTTATTTATTATTGTATAATTACAACATTATATCCACTATAATTGTTATATTAATTATATCCATTATAATATTAATGACATTTATTCATTATAATAAAAGAAAATTTAAAATAAATATAAAAATAATGATATATATAAATATGATATACGCGTATATACATATGTAAATGTACGTAAACTTTTTGTTTGTAAATATAAAAATATAATTAATATATTTTTGTGAACAATAACTTTTCTTTCCCTTGCCAAAATTGTCAAATATATTTTAGGGCTGCCAACACGGACTGGAAAAGGATATCTTTACGTCATTACCTTGTGTAGTAGGGAGAAACGGCGTACAGTCCTTTATTCGTTTGTTATATACATCTAAGGAGCAAGAATTGATGACGATATCTTTCCAAAGAATTTATGAGGCACAAAAATTGATCCTCGACAAGATTGAATAAATAAGAAACGGAATTAAAGAAGTATTTGTTGTACAATTTTATAATTAACGTTATTTAGTAACCTAAAACATTAAATACTGTCAACAATTAATGTGAGTAAATTATATTTTAGTTCTATGTTTGACAGAAATAAAAATTTATATATATATATATATATATATGTGTGTGTATATATATATATATATATTTATTTATTTTATTAATGCGTTGCAAATAAAAGGAAAGTGCGAGATTTTGATCACGAATCATAATGATTCACGTCAATTAAAGAATTATATTGAAACACTATGTATACATAATAATTTCGTGACAAAGGACCTTATCTTTCATCGTTCGTTCACAATCCAACCAAGTCAGAGAATTAAAAAAAGAAATCTGCGTTTGTTTTAGGACGATTGGTTTTATTGCGCAATCAAATGATCATAGGAGTATAAAATTGTAGGGCGTACTCCGAGGATTTCGGTCCCAATTTGCAAAGATTAATGCAGACTACGTATAATTAATTGCTTTGTGTATGGAGCAGTTAATCGCCCCGCTAAAGGCGATCGAGATGATGAAACGATTGCTATTATAAATATAAAGAGAGGCGGTTTCGCGCGGCTCTAGTGGTCAACGATACTGACTAATTTGTTACAAAATTCACGTACAATATCACGCTTTTTATCTCTGCCATCCGTTACATTAGTTAAGACATTCGTTTACCCAGTGTTATTGCTGCTCGCATATCAATAATAAAGCGTTCTCAATATACACAAGATCTAGGTCCGCATTTGTAGTCGTGTTTCTGCTGAAAATTATTATTTACGTTTTTTCTTATTATATCTATTTGTTGTTGATATCTTATTTTTACATCTTTATGTTAAATCATATGATCTAAAAACTTATTCAATGAACTATTGTGTTATTTATATGAATAACACTCTATTTTAAAAAGAGTCTATCAATGAATAAGTTTTAGCAAAACTCAAACACATTTATAACTTTTTTTTGTAATATATCACTATACGACGAGACTTTTATTTGAAGAAAATTTAACGTCATCATATTTGAATAATGGAGAATTGTTAGAGTACGAATAATGAATAATATGGTAGTTAATATATTTAAAAATAATAACTTTTTTGTAAATTACTGATAGTTTCTTTTAAATATTTTTTTCTTTGTCTAAAGTATATCTTTCATATTTAAAACATTCAAATATTTGGTTAAAATTTAGTTAAGATATTATATTTATAATGGAACATCTTTTATTGTGCTGTACATAATTTTCGCGTACGAGATATTTTTTATTATTAGATTTAATCTAAGTTTAAATTCAATAAATTTTAATGAGAAATATAAAACGGGAGACAATAAAATATTTATCTTAATATCCATAGTTTCATTATTACGCAAAATATTGATATATTTATGTATTAACGTTTATAATATCCTTAAATTAGAGATTAGAACTTTTTATAGTCGTAAAGAAATTGATTAATTATACATCATTTTTATAGCTGGCCTTGAGCGCGGTTGGCAATAAAAATATTGATGAATTACGTTAAGCCGTTCACGTAATCATCTAGACATGATTTTAAAGAGACACAAGGAATACCTAGTAGAATGTATGTATTAATCTTCATGGAATACCTAATAGAATGTGTACTAATTTTCATGGGATTGTTGAAAGTTTAGTTAAGGATTTCTACGAATTTATATTCGAAGGCAACGAAGTTGTTTTTTATCCCTGAACTTTGCCTAAAATTTACACGTTCTAAAAATGAAAAATCTTATGATATTTATGACTCTGTTATTGATTATCATTGCATTGTCGCTAACAATTTGTCAGGGAATAAAAAAAATTTATTGTCTACCTAAAGAATTATTCGAATGGGTATTACACGGAATAAGGATAGACAATACCTGTTGAAATAATTACAAGTAAGAATAAAAACGTATATGTATAAAATTAATTTTTAATTATTTTTTTTAAAAATAATTTTTTTAAGAAAAATAAAATAGCTTAATAATATGAGCTCAATAATATGATTCAGATAATTTTATTGTATTATATTATTAGAAATATATAAAAGACTATACAGATATTAATTGTAGAAAATGTCAACTTAATTTTGTTGTAATTATTCAAATTCTAGCAATTATGGAAGTATTTGTTTAAATATGAACTAGGACTGCATACTTATTTGACAAATTTTTTATATTATTCATACTGATATTATTGATTATTACTGATTATTACTGATTATTACTTGATATTCTATTATATCATTTTATTACAAAAAAAAATAAGAAATACAATAAAAATTAGTTTAAATTACAACGTAGCACATACATTTCAAATTTATTGCAATCTTGTTAAAATACATTGCAATCTTGTTAAAATACATTATTAAAATCCATTATTAAAATCTGAAGCTATATCGTTTTAGTATTTCTCAATATAATTACAAATACTTGTTTATTTTTATTAAAATGTGAATTAAGTATCATGAATATTTTAAAAATAGAATAAATAACGAATATTTTATTGCTTATACAACATATATTTCTTATAAACCTGACTTTTTGTTGAGTTATCTAAATGAGTGAATTAATTTTGATGAGTAGTTTGACGATTTTTGTTAATGTATTAATATCAGATTATTATGAATAATTAGAAAAACGTAATAGCATTAATTATTCTATTAAAAATTGAGGAAGATAATTAGACTTGTGAAATATAATATTTTATATTAAAAAAATAAACATACAATAAAGAAATAGAAATTTTAGTTTATTTCCATTAAACTTCGAGTTGAAAAGATAACAATATATGTATATTGTCAAGATAGATTTTTATATTGTAAAAAATGGCATCGTTATTTACTTCCTTAATCTTAATTGCAATTAAAATTTATTTTTAGAAAACAACGTTTGGTAATATTCTTAATAAATATTTACTTATTCGTAATTAATATTTAGATTTAGTTTTCAAGGACAGCGTCTTCTTATCACTTCTTCATCGTCACTTCTTCTACACTTCAAAATTTTAAATACGTTAGCGAGTTTGAAGTAGTAGTAAAAACGTAGTTTACATAATCATACACATCTAAAGATGACTATAAATAGCAGAAATATTCGGAGGAACCTGTCAGAACACAACAAGAATCAGAATTGTTGAGATTTCAGTAGTTTCTCTTCTTAATTACTAGGATAACGTTCAAATTTATTGTTAGTCTTATATACGTGTGTGCGTGACAAATATTTATTAGAATTTAAATATTAAAAATGGCGAGAATGTTTGTAATGTCTGTAATTGTATTGATAGTGATAAATTTATCACTAATGACTTGTATAAACAATAAGACTTGTCCACTACAGAATATCAACAGCAAGAGATCCAAGAGAATAACAGTTTTAGTCTCACCCATTTCATACAGATACCGAATAGACCGCAATGTCCGGAAAATCAACGATTGGATAAACATGGAATATGTCGATCAGTGGTAACCGTTTTGTTACTTTCATATTTAATAATTAAAGATGAAAAGAATAAAATTTATATATATAAGATAAAAGACAATAATAAGATAATAAGAGTCTGTTCATTATAATGGTTATTTAAATAATTATAATGTACCTATAATAAAGTTTGACTAATATTATTATTTGATTAATAATATTCTAATTTATTATAAATTGAGTTCTATTTTAGACAAGTCAACTTCAAGATATTATTTAATTTATCCTATTTTTAATGTTGTAGGTTGGATGATACATACGCAAAAATGTTCTTGATTTATCTATTGGCAATCGAAAATCAATGCTTCAATTGCATTGGCACAACTACGATTATTTCTAATAAAACTGCAATATATATAAGTAATCATTGGATATTTTAGGTGCTATATATAATCATGGGTCAAGAATTTATATTTATCTAATCTTTATAAGTGTTGGGGAAATTCTATTGAGGCAGAAATATTTTTATCGTTTAACTAAATGTATGTAATAATATTGTGTACTTTATTAAAAAGCATATTACAATTAAATGACACTATACTGATAATTAAACTTTTAGAATTTTTGAAAATACACTAAAAACTGAGAAAATTATATTTTAATTCTCAAATTCTCAAATTTCGCAGAAGTGTGTGTGTGTGTGTGTGTGTATGTGTGTGTGTGTGTGTGTATAATAGCAGAGAAGTAATTTTAGTTAACTGAAGATCTTATTCTATCGTAATTATAAAGTTTTACTTTTTTAATCATAATATTATACATCTTATTCTAATTTAGTTCAATTTTTTACATCGCATCGATCAAGGAAATAGCATTCATATTAAAATATAAAATAATATGGTATAAATCTTTAAAGACTGAATACCAATATTCTTAATTGATGAAGCAACATCATCATAAGTTTCTATCAGAATTCTTGAAACGGCGACTTTCAGCCATCGTTTTCTTCTGATTAAAAAATAAGGCGTGTCGAAAATAAGCTGTATTTTTAAGTTGGTACAAACACGATGTTTACTGCGTCTATTAGTAAATGACTAAATATTATGGAGTAATATTAAAGCATTAAGAAACAAACTGTGATTGAAATGTCTTCGACAATACTGACATTAATGCTATCTCTTGTGGAATACTTAAAACTAAATCACATTTCTAATACATTATATGTATAAGATATATGATACACTGTAGATGCGTCGGATGTAATTCTTGGTATCCACCATAATTATAGTTATAATTGACTCACAAGTTAATTGCTATCCTACTCGAGTATGACGGAAAAAAGTACGAGTTATTGTACTTGTACATAAAATTACTCGTATGCCTAGTATTGATCATGACCATCTGATAATGATATTTAATTTTCTATAATAAGAATAGTATATTTCAGATATAAATATAAAATAACAATTCAGTTAATTTAAATATGCCATTAAATGCGGAACGATATACGGGTCTTGAGCCTCGCGTTACGAAATTCACGGACCCGCATTGCACACATGCAAAGAAATGAAAGACACTCATACACCAGTACAAAAACGCATCTGCATGATCTGCTATTGAAAATTCATGTCTTGAATGGTTTATATGAATGAAAGGTAGGAGGATCCGAAGGACATTGCTCAACGGACAAGAGACGCGGCGGTAGGTACTACTAATTACTTGTATTTTTTATTCCATGCGAATATAATGCCGTCGAGGCAGCCTCAGAGCGAAGAGGTCGCTGATAAAAAAAAAAAGGAAGGCGTACAAAGAGAGAAGGTGAGGTAAAAAACAGACATTGCCGCGCGAGAAAGATCGGTGGAAGGAATATGTAAAAGGGGCAGGGTAGGGAGGGGGGTAGTTGGAGTGCATTACTCAAAGCTTTAAAGTCATCTATACGCCATCAGCGACTTACGTATGTATGTGGAGGCCCCAAACCGCGTGTACACGCTCATAAAATCGCCATGGCGCAAGAGGCAGGTCGGACTCCTGATTGAGTTACGATTTAATTAGTCCGCGCAGCCAATCAGTAATTAAGATATCCGTTAATCAACGGGCGCGGCCCTTCTTCGATCTCTCTTCTCCACGAGTTCGCTGCTGAAGAACTTTTGCCATACTCTCTCTTTCTTTTTCTCTCTCTCTCTTTCTTCAAAATACTATTTCTATTTTTTAATATTATTTTTAATTTGTTTCATTTTTTTCTTATTAGATTTATATTTTCTTATTATATTAACAAACTTAAAATTACGATAATGTCTTTTGATTATTCACAATCAAATTAAAGATTTATTAAATTATTTTGATTAAATATTTTTATGTCGTTAGGCATAAAAATTAATTTTATGTTATATTTTATTTTATATCCAAATTTCTTATGTAGTGCACATTACGTTATTCTCTTCTATTAGAATTGTGCTTGTAGCACAATTCTAATTCAGTTTTATTCGATCAATGAAAAAAATACTGAATGTTCCCGACATCTACCGGAAAAAAACAGAACACACGAAGACAAGTCTGATAAACGCTCGCTTTCTTTCGTTTACCTTTTTACAAACCTGTTTAACATGCACAGTCCAGTCCAAAGAAAAGATTGCACAAATATGTATGCTAATAATTTTTTTCACATTGCAAACGATGCACATATGTGTATGTTTATTATTTATAGAATGTAATAGTTTTGTTATAATTTTTAAAGATAAATGTTTCTGCCGAATATGTATATCAAATTAAATTCCATATCAGCCAGTTGTATGATATAACGTTTTGATTGCAATTAATAGCCGCCGGCTGCGTTACGGTCGGTTAATTGTCGGAGAAAGATTAATGGCGCGAAATCACGCCACTAGCAGTAGATTGTTCGACACCGATTTTTATGTCAGTGCACACCTTCATAAATTTTTGTATGGTGAACTTATTGAAAATGAGGCACTTATTTGTGCGAGATATTTTAATAAAATGTTTACTATTACAGGTGACAGGATTAAAAGTTGTCATAGTCTTGTGAAAAAATACTATTGAAGTTATGAAAGAACTGTTGAAATAAATAATGTACAATATTCGAATAATTTTCTAATTATTTTCAATAGGTTTTTTGCTAATCCAATAATGTTACCGCGAATATCATACAGAAAGAGAACGAATGAAATTTATTTAAAATAAAATCTAAATTAAAATAAAATGTAAATATTATAAAAAATATCTTATAAATTATTGATTTTATATACATTAATGAAAGTACTTCCCATCACTTGAAAAACGCTACGAATTAATTCCAACACCTAATACTTTGATACTTTTATATGCAAAATAATTAAAAAAATCATATCAGGTAAAAATATAATTCAATTTAAAAAAATGTAGATATAATTTAGCCCGGTTGTGATACGTCACGAATTGCATATTGGCACTTTGAACATATAATTGCAATCTTTTAATATGATATATATTTACGCAATAATAGTGTTTCGATTTTATCCGACAATCGAGGGAAAATTGTAGTCTAAGATTTTTTAGTGCATTTCTTAAATAATAACAAATAATTTCATATTGAACTGTGCGCATATTACAATGTAGCTCCGTGATTAACGAAGCGAAAATAAATATCGTATTTATTGTCTTACTTCTGCAAACAAATGTCAGTATAATAAACTGTATTTTTTTTCGATACCGCTACAACATTTTGTGCATTTTGAATTTATATTTTTGTAAAACAAAATTTTTTAAAATGAATGTCACTTTGATTCTACACGAATCATGGTATCAAGGATGAAAAGCAGGTAAAAATGTTTTAATGCACAAAATGCTGTAACAAATAATTATATATATATGTATATAAAATTATCTTAGCACGTATTGCGAAACGGTATAATTTTGCCGGCGCAAAAGAGGCTTGCATCGACTTCAAGGCCTGATTTATAACAGAATCCTGGATTACCGATGAGAATGAATAGATTCTACCTTACCATCGTCCGTGAGGTTGAGGCCTATCAGGAAGATCCGGTGAAACCCGGATACATCAGGAGACCGCCTTGATCCGCGGTAAATTCCAGGTTGCTTTGGTAATTATGCCCCCATTCGAGATTTACGGGCGAACGAAGCTGTCCAGGACGTATCGTCCTTTATTTATAGTTACAGAGAATTACTTATTGCAACCTGCGACTCTCTTTCTCTTTCTCTCCCTTCATCGGCCGCACGCATGAGCGCGCTTTTAATGCACTCGTCGAAGACGACCACTCGTGGTATCGTGCATGGGAATGCAGCTGCGAACATCAGATTCAGTCTCGTATAGTGACAGCTTCAGAGATTTTTTAAATTATATTTATAAGAAACTTCAATTATTTTTTATAAAATTTAAATATATATATTCAAAATTTTATCCTAATTGTTTCTTACAAAATTAACATTCTTTCTTATTACGTTATGTTTCGACATATTTCAATAATAATTCAATAGTGATTCTTTATCTTCTAAATTTGGTGTAAATAAAAAAATAATTAATTAAAAAAGTATATGAATATATAAAAAATTTTTAATTTATTAAATTCTATTATTATTCTACTGTCTAAGAAAAGTGATTACTTAATTTCCTTTTTTCTTTTAAGTAAGGGTGAACTTTAACAAAATATTTTCTTTATAATAGACTTAAAATATACTTATTATAGAGAAAAAACTCATTATTAAGTAGTCAAAACAAGAATTCATTTTCTTTTAAATAATAAATAGAAAATTTTATTAAAGAAATGACTTTATATAATAAATAAATCGGATTTGTTTTACTTCAATGTATCTTGATTAAAGTATTAAACTTATTAGAATTCAAAATATACTTTGAATTTTGATGCTTGTGATGATTTTATAATAAATTTTTGCTGATAATATATAAATTTCTGAAGTATTTGAAACACAAGAAATTAATATTTAATTATAGTATATGCATCTTTTTGTGTATATATTTGTTTATATTTCTTGCTAAGTTTTTATCTATGTAAATTAAGTAACGTTCGCGCCATAAAACGCTGACAATATTATTTCCAGAAATATCGGACTTTTCGCAATCTTACGTCATGATGGCAGGTATTGTCATGTGTTGCGCACTTATTAATTTGCTCCAAAATGTAAGTGGACAGAATAATTTACGCGAGGTATTCAGACAATTTAACGAATCCTTTTCAATGTAAGACATGATAGTTAATATACACTTGTGTCCGCGAGCGGTTCTTCGCGAAGGTGAGCGCGTTTTCTTACGAGTTGTAATTTACAATCACGTCGCGAGAAAAGAACCGAAATATTCGTAAGTCTGCCACACAAATGTAACCAAATACATATATGTCACACATATATATATATATATATATATATATATATATATACTGTACGGCGATCACTAATGAATGCACATGTATTATCCTGCAGTAATTACCATATCAAGGTCTCGTTGTTGATCCCTAACACTGTCCTAATTGCCACGCTCGATAATTTATTAAATTGCTCTATTATGAAGTCCTGTTCTTCCCTTTCTCCTTCATTCACTTCATTCGAGACTTTGAGGATTCACACCCGCTCTTCTCGGCGCGATTTCATCGGCTGCAGGGCAAATCGTGCACATTGTACACATTGTTTATGGAAATCGCAGCAGGACGTTGTAATGTGCCTCATTTCGCATATTTTAAAAGATGATTACTATGCGGATGATTGCGCCGTTTTACATATACACTCGTTGGTTGAGTGGTCACATTTCGGAGAACGCGATGTTGCAGATTAACGTTGTATCATCAGGAATAAGTGTACGTGTGCGTGTGAGTGCGTGCGAAAAGGCTGCGCTAACAGGAAATGATATTAGTTAAGAAACACGGGCATTGACTTTCATGAAATCTCATTTTCGACGAAAATTTTCTTAGCATGTGATGATATTTACATACATGATTATGCAATTATAACAAAATATATTTCATACTCGATAATTTTCAACTTCTATATTTTACCTTCGAATATTTTTATCTCTACATAAATATTATTAAAATATAAGTTATTAAAATATCATTAAATATCTAATCTTAATTATCATTCATATTATCGTGATTATCGCAAAATGACGCTAATAATGTATCAGCTTTATCTATACGCAATAATTTACGCTTAAGGCACATAAGAAGTAAACAAATCAATATTTTAGATTGGTTACTGTTGCTTACGTTATTACCTTATGTTCTCTATTGCGATTTGCTTACTGCTTACGCTTTTTTGTGTTCCATGGGAATATAAATGTAAGAGATAGTATCGCTATTAAATTCATTATACGTGCAAATGTCTGTGCGTCCGTTAAAATGATGCAAAAGCTACATTATTGCACTGACAATACCATTTACATCATGCAGCACTAATGTTAATGCAGCACTAGTGTCTGTAATTTTAAGATCTCTCTCTTTCTCTCTCTTTAGCGAAGACAAGATCTCGAAATAGCAGTGATGACGAACAAACTATTTGTTTCGCAGAAGTTATGGACATAACGTGCACACGCAGGTGAAGCAAAAACTCTTTGAGCTGTCGCCGCTGAACGGGCTTGTAATTATACGTGTCATCTTAATATTGGTACCGTAGTCATATCGCTCAACAACATTACCACGAGCATACAATTGGCTGTTTCAAGTTTCAACCTTCAGCCGTAAAGAAATGAAACACGCAATTCAAGTTTTTGTGTGTTTCGTATATTCTATGTTAATATTTGTTTTGCAATATTCAGTAATTGAATATGAATTGAAGCAGGACAGATCTTAGTTGATGTGATTTCTGGAAATAATATCACATGCTTATTATTTTTAATAAATAAAGCCATTTTAAAGTAAAATATTTTACTTTAAAACATTATTTAAATTAAATTTCAGAATTCTTGCATATTTTTAATTTTTTTTAACATCAGCTTTGGAAATAATTTTTCAAAAAGAGGTTATTTAGAAGCTAATACATGCTTAACAATAAATTTGATATGTCACACAATATGGTGCTGTAATTTGTGTAAAAATTGAATGAACGAAGTGCTTTACTCGCTTTACTAATTGTAAGTATAGTTACGACCATTCTGTGAGAAGTGTAGAACGAAAGAAGAACATGTATAAGATAGAGAAAACGTATAAGATATAAGATGAAAGAAGAGCGCTTTTATTGCTTGAATATTTTGTGTAAACTCCGAAATGAATCGATGATCATTCTCACGTGCAGTATTATAGCTTATAGTTGTACGGAGAAAGTTGCGTCAGAACGCGTGCAATCTCTGATTCATTTTTATTCGCCCACAGAAATTATCGCTAAGTTCATGTATGGATATATATGTATGTATGTGTGTGTGTGTGTGTGTGTGTGTGTGTGTGTGTGTGTGTGTGTGGGTGGGTGTGTGTGTGTGTTTGTGTGTGTGTGTGTGTGTATGGCGATATAATCTATCTTCAACTGTAATCTTATTTTATATATCCCAAATGCTATTATTAATCTTTTCATTAATCATGTTAGATATCGATAATATGGATCGTTGTCAAATTTTACTTTTAGATAATAGTCTAATACTTATAATACATTTTGAATCAATTTCTCTTTAATAGAAACAGAATAAAATATAATCGTTTCTTGTAATATTTTACTTTTTCAATGTTAAATATCTATTGAAGTTCACTGACATTCTCATTATTACAATTCTACATTATTTGCAATTCTAGAATTAAATTATTAAGTTTTTAATTTTTAAAATTTGTAGTTTTTAAAGTTTTTAAATTTTAAAGTTTGTAGTTTTTAATTTTTTAAGTTTTTGAACTTTTGCAACTATTCCTTTTTTTATTAGAATTTTAAAGAAAGACTTCTTTATGCGACGTCGTGATAAACTTTACTTATAGCCATAAGAAGTCCCATGTTATAAAACGTGGGAATCATGACTGAGTATTGCTTCCAGAAATACTTTTACCCCACTCTCGATATCCCCTGGTGCCTTATGATTGGTAGAAGTAGAAAGATTCAAGAGAAGAAAGTCTCATCAAGCTGGATCGATGATGAACGTAGTCGTCACGTGCGTACATTGCGTCATGTTACGCGTGCGCGATGTCACGTTCTTTCTTCGAAACCACGAAACAGTTCGAAGTATTCTGTATTTAATACGATATTTAAATCAAAGTCCACTGTAATATACTCTGCTAGAATTAACAAAAATTTTTAGAAATTGTCATTTTCCGATTTCAAGATTTTGGAGACTGTTCTGTCCAGATAATCATGGACACTTCATATATTTCGTCATTGTCTTGGTGCTCGTAAAAATTGTGCAAGGTGGGGCAAGGTCACCTTGGCGAATCCACATCCCTGAACTGCCAGTCCAGTAGAAGAATAGCAGTGTGCCAGCTGCAACGTATTCAGCTGCGTTCGACAGTGTTGAAGAATAGTATATAAGGAGAATACTTATTAAGGTCAGTGACAACTCTCTTCAATTATTTCACTTAAAATTATTTTTATTTTAATTGTAAAGTCTCACAGTGTGTAAAGAACAGTGACAAATAACAACATATTTATTTAATTTTTCATCTAGCCTTATAACATCCGAATAATTTTAAAATTGCTTAAGATTACTAGAGCGGAAAATTAATTTAAATAAATTTTTCAGATTTAGTCATTTAGAATTATTGTTATTTTATTAATATTTAGAAATATTTTTAATACGAGCTGAAGTTTCTTTTTGTATTTCCAGTGCTTGAATAGCTGTACGTTATCAGTCATTGCTTGTTACTTGCGATAAAACATACACATGATAAAACTATACACATTACACCGAGTACCGTTACCGGTATATTGCAATTTATCGTTTTTTGACTTCCCGTATAAAGTGTAGTAAGTTAATAATACTGAATGTGTTATACGAGTCTTTCGTCGATTATATCTTGTCGGTCAAGCGTTATTAACAAACTGTGATTAATGATCTGACTGCAAACCAATGTGTAGTTAAATTCCAAGGTGTTTTTCCGAATCATAGTTCGCACGTTTTGCACCTTGTTGAAAGATAAGTGCTGGTATACGAAGTCCTGATTATGGACAGATACTGCCATCTAACAACTGTATGCATCATCCATTGCATTCGTTGCAGGTGCATGCTACAAGTATAGAAACTGTATAATACATTTTACAACCGCGTCTCTTGAAATGGTATTTGCCGACGTAGTAGTTTGTTGTAAAAAAATGTGGACTTGATATTATTAACAATATTCAACTTGTGTTAACGACAGTAAAAAAAGGATTACTTTTATTAGAAAAGAATTTTGTTGAATAGCAAACAGAACAGTCAGATTTCATAAGCATGTTTTTAATGATACATATGATTTTTTTCAATCTCCACAGTGACTTATTGTTTTTTGTCTATTTTTACCAATTATTTCAAATTTAGTTTTTTTTTATTACTAATTAATAAATTCAAAAGCATGAAAATTAACGTAAACGGTATACATTACTATATGTATTAAAATTTAAATTATGAAGTTATTGATATTAATGCATTGAATTATTCTGATGAATTTTGCAGAAAATGGCAATGTTAAAGGATCAACTTTTAACTACTGTAACTGAATCGGTGTCAACCGGTAGAAATAAAATCACAGTAGTCGGTGTCGGTCAAGTTGGAATGGCCTGTGCTTTTAGCATTTTGACAAACGTGAGTTAATTATATTAATTATATTAATTATATTAATTATGTAATTATAAATGTAGTACAGTATTTTATATATGTTAATTTTGCTATTAAAATATGATTCTTATTTTTTTACAAATAATAACATAAAATAGTCAAATAATAATTATATATTTAATATGTTATACGTATGTAATTGTAGTGACATATAATATATGCAAAAATCACTTGTTAAATTATTATTGCAGCATGTTTCGAGCGAAGTGATATTAATTGATGTAATGGTGGACAAATTAAAAGGAGAAATGTTAGACTTGCAACATGGCAGTGCATTTATGAAGAATGCAAAAATAAGTGCCAGCACAGATTATGCCGTGTCTGCGAACTCGAGTCTCTGCATTGTGACAGCGGGTGCACGTCAGCGCGAAGGTGAAACCAGATTGAATTTGGTTCAACGTAACACTGACATTTTCAAGGGCATTATACCTCAGTTAGTCAAATATAGCCCAAACACAATTCTCCTCATTGTTTCCAATCCGGTGGACATTTTGACTTACGTAGCATGGAAACTTTCCGGCTTGCCAAAGAACAGAGTTATTGGCAGTGGTACAAATTTAGATTCTGCCCGCTTCCGCTTTTTGTTATCGCAAAAACTTAATGTCGCACCTACGTCTTGCCACGGCTGGATTATCGGAGAACATGGTGATACCAGTGGTATGTAAATACTTTTTTAAAATAGAAAAATTTTCGTACCAGATGTATAAAATAAATTTAATTGGAATCATTTGATGTATCTATCGAAAATATTATTTATCATATGATTACTTATCATATTTTCAATAGCTAAATCAAAGAATTTCAAAAAGTACATTACTTCCTGTAGTTTTTCTTTATATAATTAAAAATTTAATATTTTTTTAAACAAATAAGTGCATATGTATATATTAATGAAAAATAATATAATAATTAAATTTTAGTGTATTATAATTATATGAGACATTTGTTTTTTTATTTATCAGTGCCTGTATGGTCTGGAGTTAATGTTGCCGGAGTACGTCTACGTGATTTGAATGAGTATGTGGGTACCGACAAAGATGAGGAACATTGGAATGAATTACATAAGCAAGTGATACAAAGTGCGTATGAAGTTATCAAATTAAAGGGCTATACCTCATGGGCAATAGGTCTCAGTGTGTCGCAACTTGCATCAGCTATACTAAGAAATTCCAATCAAGTGCACGCTGTGTCTACGCTGGTTACTGTAAGTCGACAATATGGATTTCTACTACATTAACTTACAATATCTTACATATTATGTATATAATAAATATAATTTTAATCCTATCGAAATTTTTTTTATATTTGTATACTTTGTTACAAACACAATTAAAGGATTATCAAATATTTCATAATTTGCTTTTTTTACAAATCAATTATAATTTTTATATTATTTTTTAATATAGCTTTTAATTATTTTATATTTTTAACAATTTTAGTAATAAATATTAGGTGTTGGAATTAATTCGTAGCGTTTTTTAATGAAAGAATGTTATTTATTTCACATGAGCATTAAAAAATACATTAATGAAAGTACTTCCCATCACTTGTAAAACGCTACGAATTAATTCCAACACCTAATATATTATTGGTTAAAAATTTAAAAACTATTATGTTTATATATTATTTAATATATGTATATTAATATATACATATATTAAACATACATTAAAATTTCATCATATATACGTAAATATACATATATTATATATATGTATATTAATTTTCTAGTAAAAGTATTAATACTAATTATTTTTGTATTTAATGCGCGAAAAACTTAGTTAACTGAAAATAACATTCAATAATTTTCAGGATCATCATGGAATTAAGGAAGAAGTGTTTTTATCCTTACCTTGTACATTGGGTGAAGATGGCGTCACGCACATTGTTCAGCAGAAGCTAACAGATGATGAACTTGCATCATTACATACATCTTCAGCGATGATGCACAAGGTGCAAGAAGGCCTCAAATTTTAAAAATATATCCTTATTTACTTTATTTTTATTTTTTATCTTATTATTTTTTATCTTATTATATTTATATATGTTTTTGATGCTCTTTTATATACATATAACTTACATTTACGATGTATTAATTAGATGAACACAGTATTATATACAAGTTAATAAAATAATTTTTGCAGCTATATAATTGACATATATACTGCTGTATGTGTGAAAAAGAATATAAAGTATTTTTGATGCTATATTTATTTTTTATTATTATTATTTTATTTTATTTTTGTTTATGATAGGAATACCTCTCATTATTATTTAGAGATATTTATTTTACAACATTATAATTATTTATGCTATTATTTATTTAATATAAATTTGACATACACAATGTAATCATTTCTAGCATTTTATGTCAAATATACCGAATGTGCCGCTGATAAGATAAAAAATAAAAAAATTTGTATGTATAACAAATAATATAAAAATAAAAATATATATAACTTATATTATATCGATCATTCTTTTATTTAATCATACTTTATTTAAACAATATTGTTTATTATATTGTATGATAATATATAATGAATGATTCTATTATTATATAAAAAGTCATATATATATATATATATATATATTTTTTTTTTTTATGTGCGTATGAATAAAATAACGTATGATTTTATTAAATTTTAATTAAGAAAAGCATTTTTAAATTATTAATAAATTTTGAACATGTTCTCTTTATACATCTTTTTTGTACGCCTATTATAATAAAGTTTAGTAACCATGGATGTGTTTAACAATTGGCGAACCGACATGATTATGATGGCCGTATGCCAAGAATGTTATGTCGACCGATTATAGTTACAGTGAGTACTCTCTCTTTTCAAGAAAAAAACGGTTTCATGCAATGTGACGGGCGTGGGTGAAAACGATCGTGCGACGTTTACAAAACCGATGAGTGACAGAAGCAATGGTTTTATCACCTCTACTGTTAAACTCGTTATTACCGATATGTCTGAGAAATCTTACACGCGTGACATTAACAAGAAACTTCGTCAGGAATCGATATACTCGTACTTTACCGCCGACAATTTTGAAAACAATCTTAGGACGTGATAAAGGAAAATCTTTTGGGAAAGATGCGACTTCTGATTCGGGAGTACAGAGAGCTGTTAATTTTGTGTAATAATTTTTTTGTGTCTCATATAATGTGTCAAATATATATATATATTTGACATAATTATAATGACATATTTATAATTTTAAACGAAATATTATAGACGGAATTTATTTTAATAATCAATTTTTTTTATTACATTAATTTCCATTTTATTGGACGCCTTGGATTATATTTACAATTAGTCTAAAATTATTTTAGATAATTATAATTTCTAATAATTATATGTGGTGACACATTCATTTCTTTTCATTTTTTTCATTATATTTTATATGTATAAAGAATTTTACACAAGTCAGTTATGTCGTTACAAAAGATCAAATTATTAATATTCGTATTAAATCTAATACACACATTTCTAGTTACTAAAGACTTTTAATATAATTACTAAAGAATTTTTCGAAGAAACTAATAATTAGTCTTTTTAGATAGCTAATTTTAAGTATAAAAAAAGTTTCATGAATAATACAATATAATATTTTGCCGAAATATTAAAGAAGCAGATAAGAAATATTATAAAAGCAGATTATTTGAATTCTAGTTCGCCATGCTTGCGAGAAGAACTCTTATGTAAGATGGCGGAACCAGTTAGAGACAGTGCCCATAAAGTAACTATTGTTGGTGCTGGTATGGTCGGCGTTGCCATTATAAATTCACTTCTTTTTCAGGTAGTTTACTCCTTTAAATTTTTTATGGAGTTGAAATTAAATATAGTTGAATTTAAATATAATTTGAATTACAATTTTATTCATTGAATTTACTTTATTTCAAATTGAAATAAAAATTTATGTATTATAAATACAATAAAAAAAAATGCATAAACATTATAATGTATATTTTCATTATATGTATAATGATATTTTATACATCGTCCATTGTTTTAAATAAATGATGGAAATATTAAAATTTAAATTTTTAATGATTATTTTATAAATTTGTATTATTATTTTATTAAATATTAGCGAATTACTTCGCATATCGCAATGGTAGATGTTTTTCCTAAAAAACTGGAAGGCGAAGGAATGGATTATTGCCATAGTTCTGTATTTATAGGGGATCCAAAGATCGAGTATGATACAGGTAATGGATTTATTGAATATGTATTAGTTACGCAAAAATCATAGTTTTTTTTGTTCATGTGCAAATATATTGTAATTGTAACTGTATATCTTACAAAAATATTATGAAAAGTCTAATTTCTCATGTACATTTTTCATGTACAACAATTTTTTTATTACTATTTAAAAACGCAAAAATATCTTTTTTGTAGATTTTTGTGTGACGAGTAATTCGAAAGTCGTAGTTATTTGTGCGGGTGTACGACCAGAGAAGAATGAAAGTCGACTCGATTTGGTAAAGAGAAATACAGAAATATTGAAAAGCATAATACCACCTCTAGCAAATTATAGTCCAAATGCGGTGTTTCTTGTCGTTAGCAATCCAGGTTAAAATTAATTAATATATTAAATAATTGTATTGACTATAGATTATAGATACTATCTAAGATATTAAATAATTGTATTTACTACAATAATTATTTACTATATAAGAAACAAAGATTTTAATGAAAGTAACATTATAAATATAGTATTAAAAAATTTCAAATGTTGCAGATTAGATATTTATTCGATATTTCCCTTAAAAAATATCTTGATGTTATATACATGAGAAAAAAATCATTTTTTCTATATAATATACACATAATATGAGTATTAGTAATAGTATAAATATTTATTGATATTTAATAAAAATTGAAAAGATTTTTTTATTTAAATAAACAGTAAAAGCTTCATATTAATAATGTCTAGTTCTATAATGTCTATACACAAAAATTTGATAAATTATAAATGTGATTTTTTTCTTATAGTGGATATTTTGACATGGGTCACCTGGAAATTAAGCGGACTTCCGGTCCATCAGGTAATCGGTAGTGGAACTTATCTGGATAGCGCAAGATTTCGCTACTTGATTGCTGATCGATTAGAAATAGCGCCGAGTTCGGTCCAAGCGTACATGATTGGTGAACACGGAAACAGTATGGGTGAGCTCTATCGATCGATGTGTGACATTTGACACGGGGAGAAAGGCGACGTTACGCATTAAGCGATCTATCATTTGATGTTTCCTAGTTCCGCTCTGGTCCGGAGTGAGCGTTGCGGGAGTGCAGTTCCGCGATATTATCCCGAATATCGGTCTCGAGACGGACGATGAAAAGTGGTTCGAAATATCAAATTATGTAATGAAACTGTAAGTTATTTAATAATTTTAATGAACAGAAAAATTATTAGTTTTTTTACATATTCGTCGGATAACGTATTTGCAAACACTTGAATTTCTTTTATAAAGATTTAATTTATAATTTAGATTTATATATTCTACAAATAATATTTAAATAAATTATATTGTAATGTACAAAATCAGCAAACAATTACAATTGTATATGTGTACAATTAAACAATAACTTCAATTTTAATTAAAAAGAATTTTTGTAATATTTTGTAAGAATTTAATATTTTTAATTTTTTTAGAGGTGCCACGGTGCGTTGTCTGAAAGGATACACAAATACAGCTATTGGACTTTCTGCAGCCGACATCATAACAGCTATATTACGCAATTCGCAAACTATTATACCAGTTTCGACCTTAGTGCAGGTATAAATACTATAAATTATATATTTGCAATTAATTTACAGTAATAATTTACAATTTAATTTTAGAAAATAAACAAAAAAATCGTGTTATTAAATATTAGCTGATACAATTCACGAATAAAATATTTTTGGATTGATAATCAAATGTAATAACACGCGCGTATTGTACTTTGTACATTTTCAAAAATAAAAATAAAATATTTTTGAATAAAATATAATGTGTAAAAAAATTTATATTAGTGTATGTAAAAATTAATATTAGTGTATACAAAACTTATGTTCTATATTAATCAAAATTATTTTCTTAGGGTCACCATGACATATGTCACGATATGTTCTTGTCTCTACCCTGCACAATTGGCGAAAATGGTATCACACAGATAATACGAATGCACATAACTGAAGAGGAGAAAAAGCAGTTTCAAACTTCAGCAGAAATTGTGCACAAAGTGCAAAAGGATTTAAAAATCAAATAGTTTGAGTAATGCGTGAGAAAGGATCTTGTGAACATATTTAATTTCTTGTACAAAAATACGATATGTAATAAATTATACGTAGCTTGTTCTAGTACCTTGTACCGTTACAATCGGCACCGCAAAACCATTTACCGCATAACTAAATTTTTGTCCGACTCGTCCAGGGTGACGTATGGCAACCGCGAATGCTCCGATTGCTAATTTATACAAATCTGGACGAAGACTATCAACAGTTTCTCTGGATTATGTTCTCTCGAATTTCATGATATTTTGAATCGCTGGAATGGTCCTCGAGAATGACGTTGTTCTTTGACAACGATCTCCAGATCTTTTAGATTCTGAAATCCTCAAGTCCAATAAGTTGATGACGTCAATAACCTATTTTATAGTATCTGGCATACATGACACTTCGTTGGCACAACTCGAATCTCCTATTACTTCCGAGTAAAGTTTTTCGCTGAACTGCGGCTTCATATTTTCGAATTTTCCCGTTGCATAAATATCATTGGCACCTCCAGAAAGCGGTAAGAGAGCACGTCATCGTGTTCGCGGCGCGTGAACGAGCGAAAGGTGACCAGTGGATGGTACCAGAAGGCCATTATTACGCCGCAGGCTAGGCCACGGCAAGGTGAGAGAAGGATGCGAAAACTGTGCGCAAGATGGCGTTTTGGAAGTGCTCAGTACCTACGAATATATCTGCAACCACTTGCGTTTGAACGACCGCACAGGGCCGTAAGAGTGTCCGATCTATCCTTGGAGGAACGAAGAATCGCGTAACGAAATACACGATTGTGCATATTTATCGTCAGATATCATAATTAGGTACACTGATGATTATGATACAATCGATGAATATATAAAGGAGGGGACGATGAAAGGATGATTCAGAGCCGGTACGCAAAGAGTA